CGGTAAAACCCCATCTCTACTAAAAATACAAAAAGTTAACTGGGCTTGGTGGCAGGCGCCTGTAGTCCCAGCTACTCAGGAGGCTGAGGCAGGAGAATGGCGTGAACCTGGGAGGCAGAGCTTGCAGCGAGCTGAGATTGGGCCACTGCACTCCAGCCTGGGTGACAGAGGGAAACTCTGTCTCCAAAAAAAAAAAAAATCATTGGTCCAGTGGTCTTTAAACCATGATCCTCAATCCTAGATTCTTTGGGGACACATTCAAAAGACACTGCTGGATAGGGAAGAATGGGAAGGCCACCCACTTCAAACCAAGTAGTTCTGCCTTCATCTCCTCTACAGATGAGGCTTTCCATTTTCATATAAAGAAAAACCTTTCCTACAGCTTAAAAAAAAAAATAGTTTGCCAACTATTGATAGAGTCCAATGACCCAGGCAATTTCTGAATACCTTCTGCAGACATATTAACAATAAACATAGATAAACACAGAGACCTGTGTGGTTCCTAACGTTGTGATGCTAATTTGTAACCACAGTAAAGTATGTTTAAGTAACTGTTAGTAGTGAAATGGTGTATACAAAAGACTTAACATTGTATATGAAATTAGAATTTTCTGAACATATTCTTCCTCTGGAGGCAGGGTGGGAGGGGACACAGGTAATACATTTCTTATTGGGTATGAAATCTGATGTCAGTAGAATTACTGAAAGGCTTTGTGAAGTGGTAATTTTAGGTGTGAATGTTGTGACAGCAGGTGGAGCTAGTAGTAGGAACTCTATTTCTAGGCTATTTAGAGAGCTAGGTGAATACAGCTTACATTAGTGTGTTTTCATTGTGGAGCTTCAGGAATAGCATGTTATTATGTATTGGCTTTGGAAAGTGATCATATTACTACAACATGAGAGCCGAGCTGAACAAAAAAATTCCTCTGGTTTTTAGAAAAGGGGCTTGTATTTGGATAAATGTTGCCTTGGAAGACTAAGACAATTAAGGGCATAGAAGGGAGGGGAAATGTTCACATGATATATACTTGATGAGTTTAACCCCTAGAATATGGACTTTAAGAAATAAAGCATATGATTTTGTGGGAAAATAGTGTGAAAGAAATTGATTACACATATGGAGTAATTGGTGTTATTGGATGGCTTTTCCTTTTAAGTGGTAATAGGCATACAGTTTAAATCCACATACATTTTCTCCTAGTAAAAGCTAAAGAACATTTGTTTTTATCCTACAAAATTGTGAAATAAAGACCTGAATACTTCATAGCTCCAAATACTCGTGAGTTATCTGAATAAGTAATATAAAAGATATCACCACTCAGGTCCTTTTTTTTCCTTATGAATTACACAGTGAACTATGGAATTGTGCTTTTTTCCCTTTATCACTTCTCTAAGTCAAATGCAATGATAAGAGCAAATATTATGAATGTAGTTGTCTCTGGATTTTGTTTGGTTTTTACTATATCATATGTTTTAAGAAATGGGAGTTTCCGAAGTGACAGTTTATTTTGCTGGCTATGTGAATAGAAAGAGACCTACTTTTTGGCATTCATTTACAGAGTTATAAGATCATTTAAAACATGGGTCTTTTTGTTTTTTGTTTTTTTTCCTGTTTTGAGACAGTCTTGCTCTGTCATCCAGGCTGGAGTGCAGTGGCACGATTGCGGCTCGCCGCAACCACCAACTCCTGGGTTCAGGCTATTCTTATGCCTCAGCCCCCCTCCGAGTAGCTGGGATTACAGGTGCATGCCGCCACACCTGGCTAATTTTTGTATTTTTAGTAGAGGCAGGTTTTGCCATGTTGGCCAGGCTGGTCTCAAACTCCTGACCTCAGGTGATTTGCCTGCCTCAGCCTCCCAAATTACTGGGATTACAGGTGTGAGCCACCGCACCTGGCTAATTTTTGTATTTTTAGTAGAGACAGATTTGCCATGTTGGCCATGCTGGTCTGGAACTCCTGACCTCAACCTCTCTGCCCACCTTTGCCTCCCAAAGTGTTGGGATTATAGGCGTGAGCCACCACACCTGGTCTAAAACACACATTTTAAGCCTGGCATGGTGGCATATGCCTTTAGTTCCAGCTACTGGGGAGACTGAAGTGGAGGATAACTTGAGGCTAGGATTTTGAGGCTGCAGTGCGCTGTGGCCATGCCTGTGACTAGCCTCTGCACTCCAGCCTGGGCAATGGAGCGAGACCATGTCTCTAGGGAAAAAAAAAAAAACCCACACACATTTTAATGCTTTTTGCTAAAACTCTAAACAACATCTTCTTGTTTATTATTCATTGAACATTACTGACTCAGCAAACATGTAATGAATGCCTACTGTCTGCTAGGCATTATGTTAAACGTGGGATAAAATTTTGAACACTATACACTGCTTTCCCTCAGCAGGTCTCAGTTAGACATGTGGCCAAATAATTACCATAGATCCTAATCACTTCTATGATTGCATGATGAACAGAGCGCTGTCGGGTCACAGAAAGAGGACTCAGCTGAGAGAAATCAGAGACACATTCAAATAGGAGATGAGGCCTGGGTTGCATCTGGAAGGAGATGTAAACATTCCCTAGGAGAAACAAGGAGAAAGTGCATTATTCCAGGTAGTGTGTTTTATACATGCAAAGGTGTGGAGTGTGAAAGGGCCTCTTGGCTTGGGGAAGCACCAGGAAGTTGACTAGGAATCTTGAGAGGTAGACTGGGGTACGTTTCTGAAGGGTCTCCAAGGACATGCCATTACCAGTAAATACATTATTCAAGAATTTCAGCTACTCTAGATGCTACTTAATTGACTAGATTTTGGTATTTTTGAAGCTAAAGTTATGGATATGACCTGATGGGCACATGGCATGGCTAGACTTCAATTTTAACCTCAGCTAGCAATTTGGCATATGGTCTCTGTCACAGGAGTGATTAGATAAGAATGGAGCTGCATCAATATGTATCCCCACAACTACAGAAAAAAAATGCTACATATGCTAATTTGCTATAGTACATACGATTGAGCACCTGCCAGGTACTCTGATATGTGAGGGAGATATGCCCTGTTGCCTAGAAGACAGCCGGCCACCTCCTGAACTTCTCCTCTTGGTCGTCTCCAGAGCACTGAACACTTCACACAGCTGAATGGCAACTCCTCATCTCGCCCCAATTTTGCTCTTCTCCCAGACTTTCTCCTCTCTTTAAGTAGGTCTTCAAGCCAGAATCTATGGGATATTCTTGACGTCTCCTTCTTTCTCACCCGCCACATCTAGTTCTTCATCAAGCTATGTTATTTAGATTCTAAAATATATCTGGAAACCTTCCACTCCTCTCATCCCCACTGCCAGCAACCCTGGCAACCACATCTCTTGCCAGTAGGCTCCTAACTGGTCTCTCTTTCTACATTTTTGCTCCCCCACCTCAGTCCCTTTATCAAGATAATGGCCAGAAAGATATTTCAAAACTCACATCATATAACTTCCCAATTCAAACCTTCTGTTGACTTCCTATTGCAGCTTAAATAAAACCCAAATAATTTACTGTGGTCCACAAGAGTCTGTGAGTTCTGGCCCCTGCTGCTCTCCCCAACCTCATCTTGTATCACTTCTCTCTGGCTCACTTTGTTCTAACCACAGCAGCCTGTTTTCATTTTCCCACCTTGCCACCCGACGGCCTCGGCACAGGCTGTTCCTACTGCCAGCAATGCTCTTCCTCCCAATACTAGGTCGTTGGTATTGTCTCATGGTTTAGGTCTTGGCTTAAATATCTCCTCCCTGAAGGGATCTCTCCTTCACCAGAGTCTACATGAGGATTCCTGTGAATCTTTTTCACAACCTCCTGTCTTTCCCCTCATTGCCCATGCCACAGTTTGCATTGAGGTGTGTGTTTGAAAAATTGACTGCCCTCCCCACCAGATCAGTAGCTCCCTTGGGACTAGAATCACGTATATTCTCTTTTTCCCTCTATTTCCAAAGCTTAATACAGTGCCTGGCCCACAGTAGGTCCTAAAATGTTATCAAGGAATCATTGAAGAACAGAAAGACATTTTTTTTTCCGTTTTAAATCTTTAAATATAAATAAAGATGTAGGAAATTAAGAAAATCATTTCTACATTTTTTTTAAATGATTGGAACTATTTTACAAAAGGTATACAGCTTAGTATTACCTCACTAAAAGAAAAAAATGTGCATGTGGTTATTGTATGATTAGAGGCTATTTTTAAAACAGTGATAATGTTATTTTATGGAAATTTTGAGTTATAAAAATGAACTGCTCTTTTTATATATGTAGAGCTCAGTTCACTAAAATGTTTAAATTCTTGGCTTCGCTCTTTAAACCTACTACAAAGATCACATTAGAATTCATTTTAATAGACATTGTAAGCACAGTATCCAATCTCATTTTATCATGCTGGGCTCTTTTATTATGAGAGTCGCAGGAAGCTGAGCCTGAGGCTGCTCCACACGTTGTGGGGTGTATCCAGGGCTGGGGATGGTGCCAGCTCTATTGTTTATGTAATATTCTCTCCACCTTTATCTGTGGTGTGCAATTGGTATTGACTTTTAAGAAACTACTTCTCTGACCCGATCTCCCAGTTGGAAAAAAACCTGCCATAGTGACATCTGGCTAGGAAAAAAGGGATCAAAGAAGCATAAGGAAAGAAAAATTATGAGACCTTGTTTAATAAGTAGTTTCCTGCTTATTAGATCTGTTGCAGGGAAGAGTGTTACACTTTTTTCAAGGTCACCATTTCTTTACCCCTGGAAAAAGCTCAGTGAACCCTAAAAGTGTCTTGCATTTTCACTATTGGTTTCTAGTGTTGGGTCTGTTAAATGTTAGCATTTAGCAAAATGCCTTTTTCGGTCTTCAGGAAACTACAGATCTTGAGTAAATACTGTTCACCACAATTAAGATAAAATTAGATTATTTGTGATATTTATTACTGTTCATTTCTGTTTAATTTTTTCTTAAAGAGAAAGACAGTAACCTTTGACAAATTGTTCTTTCCCCAACTTTCAGGCATATTACTCGAGGGGTTTTTAAATATTGTCAGGAAAAAGAAGGAAGCTCAACGGTATCGGAATGAAGTAAGACACATCTTCACAGCCTTTGACACATACTGTAAGTGTCTCTAACGTGTTTTGATTTAAAAAAAAAAAATTGCTATTAAGGGATTGCGAATAGGATTATATACCCAGTAAATCAAATATATAATATACTTGGAAGATTATATTACTGTATTCGTTAGATGTTACCTTAGGTATTGGTGCACATTTTTTTCTCCATCGTGATTTTAAATTCTTGACATTTACCGCGGATGAAGTGGTATTTACAGTTATATGGTTGTGTTAATATATTGTACCTTGATTGTCATGGGGACCGCAAAAGGACTGGCCATGGGGGATATAGGCCATGAGCCACCTGTGGAGGTGTGGGAGACTGTGTGACTTCTTCATCAACTCTTGGTCTGACCTACATATGATTGATGGAATTGTTTTCCCACAGAAGGTGTGGCTGAGAGGGGTGGGTGGCTGTAGACCCCCTAGGCCCCACAGATCATACACAGAGTGAAAAGACTCATGGCGTCTAGGTTCAATGTCTTGACTGCTGTTATGGTTTCCTTCTAAATATTAATATTTCATGATTCTAATACCAAGCAAAAGAAAAGACATGAATTTTGAAGACTGCACTGTTTTGGTAACTCACAAAGACTCAAAGTCTAACACCACTGTTACAGTGCATGTCTCCGTATAGTGCTATCCCGGGGACTGAGAGAATCGGCAAAATGATAGGGCCAGAAGTGACCTTCAAGATCAGCTGGGACTGCACTGAAGGAAAGTATTATTAGAATCTCAAATTATTCTGATGAGACAATCTCAGATTACCTTATATGTGAAACCAACCATAAACTACTGCTTTTCTCCTAGTAATATGTTAAAGTAAGTTTTTCACAAATGTTATGGCTGAAGTAACAGTTGATAGGTCTTATCAAAGTAAGTGAATATTTTTTATTGTTTTCAAATAGATCGTGGATTTTTAACTTTGGAAGATTTCAAAAAAGCATTTAGGCAGGTGGCTCCCAAGTTACCGGAAAGGACTGTTCTTGAAGTATTCAGGTGAGGCATCAAAATCCTTTTGTACACCATCCTCTTTTGATTTACCATTTGCTTTTACATGTTTTTGATTTTATGGAAAGCACTTATTTATTCTGATTTTTCAGTCAGGAACATTTGTCTCTTGCAGCATAGTGTCATGATCCAGGAGGGAAATCTATAGTTAACTATGGGTCCTTCCACACCCGTGACAGTGGACTGTAAAGTCGGGGGAGCGCTTGCACACCAGGCAGGTGCATACAAGCATTTATGAGTAGCGGCAGGAGAGGAATAGGAAGAAAGAATAACTTCTTCAGATACTTACATGTGACCCAAGGGAAAATGAAGCTTTAGTAATATTTAGCATGGACGCTGGTGTCCTCACATGGTCTGCATTTCAGATGAACACAGGTTACATGTGATTCTTGAGTTGTCTGGAGAGAACGGTTGGAGTTGCCTGATGGTAGCCCCCTCATTCCCTTGCTTTCAAAGCCACTGACACATGTTGCTGTTCACACATACCTGATATAGTGGATTTAAAGATTATATTATGTGGTTCTTATGAACGAATCCTGACAAAATGGACAAGTGGCTTAAAAGCAGTTTCTGTTAGGAAACTGCAGATTGAAGGTAATATTAATAGTGCAAACACATGCTGATGTGAGAACACAGCAGAGCTGTCTCTTCTCTGACTCCCAGCATGAGCTCTTCATCAACCCTGTTAACAGGTGTATTCATTAGCGTTCAGCACACTAGTGAGAGCCAGAAAACCCAAAAGAACGGAAACTCAGAAAATACAGAAATTCATTTCTCTGTCATATAAACATCGGCAAACCAGGGATGAATGTTGACCATACAGTCGGAAAGGATCCAGATTGCCCGTTTTCTTGTTGCTCTGGCTGTATCAACACCTGGCTTCTCCCTCTTGCTCCAAGATGGTTGCTTAAGTTTCAGCAGTCAAATCTGAATTCCAGCTGGTTAGGAGAAAAAGAAAGCAGAAGGTATGCACTCCTTTTCAGGACATATATTTTTTCCACTTACAACCCAGTGACCAAAACTTAGTTCCAAGGTCATGCACAGCTGCAAGGGGGAAGAGTTTTGGAAAAGGTAGTCTTTGCTCTGGGCAATGATGTGCCCACGAATAGAGGTTTTGATACCAAGGAAGAGGGAGAGAGAATGGATATTGGGGGACATCTCGCAGATGTTCCCATTCGGGATGAAAGTAACTTAATGAAATACGACCAGAGCCAGCCCTTCTCAATAGAAATTATTAAATAAGTTATTTGAATGAAGATTTGCAGTCATTATTATTAACAGTGACATATATGAAATTCATTTGCTGTATCGTTGACAAGCAAGCTACTAAGCAAGCTATTGAAGAAGAACAAAGAAGTTAAAGCCAGATGCATACAAAATGCTTATAGGAAAATATTACTTAGTTGATTTTGTAAAAGCAAATCCTTTAAAATGTAGCATCTTTGTATTTTGTGATGAGATAGGTAATGAATATCAGTATACTTCTACCATACAAAAGTTGTTTTTAACAAAGGAACTAAAAATTGATACTCATTTTCTTTTTACAAAAAGACAAGTTGTCCAAATTTGATGAACTTTATGTGTTAAATGGTTTTAGTAGATACTACCTTATATAGATTTTTGAAAAATATATTTAAATGTAGCCATTCAGGCAATGTTTTAATGATGAATGAGAAAATAACACCTTCTTAGAAGAAAAGCTGTGCTATAGGGAGAACATTTTTGAAATAGATGTTTGAAAATGTTACTTTATTTTAAAACATAATGTATGTCACCTATTAAAATTCATATCTGCACGTTTGGTATGTTTAAAATGGAATGTCCTGGCCAGGCATGGTGGCTCATACCTGTAATCCCCGCACTTTGGGAGGCCAAGGTGGGTGGATCACTTGAGGTCAGGAATTCGAGACCAGCCTGGCCAACATGGCGAAACCCCATCTGTACTAAAAAGACAAAAATTAGCTGGGTATGGTAGCATGTGCTGTAGTCCCAGCTACTCGGGAAGCTGAGGCAGGAGAATCACTTGAACCTGGGATGTGGAGGTTGCAGTGAGCTGAGATCACACCACTGCACTCCAGCCTGGGTAACAGAGTGAGACTCCGTCTCAAAAAAAAAAAAAAAAATCTACAAAGTTGGTGATTTTAGCACACAATTATTAAAAACAGAAATTTGGCCTGGTGTGGTGGTTCAATCCTAGCACTTTAGGAGGCCAAAGCAGGAGGATTGCTTGAGGCCAAGAGTTCAAGACCAGCCTGGGCAACATAGACCCAATCTCTACACAAAATACAAAAATTAGCCAGGTGTGTTGGCATATACCTGTAGTCCTAGCTACTAGCTACTTGGGAGGCTGAGATGGGAAGATCTCTTGAGCCCAGAAGTTTGAGGCTGCAGTGAGCCATGGTTGCACCACTACACCCCAGCCTGGGCAACAGAGCAAGACCCTATCTCTTAAAAAAAAAATGTGTATATACATATATATATATATGTATTTGTCCATCTTTCCATGGGTTAGAGTATATCTTGAAAATGTATTAAAGCTATTGAATTATATATATAATTATATATATTGAATTATATATGTAATATATAATTATGATTGGAATTATATATATTAATGTATATAATTGTATATATGTAATATATAATTGATTATAGATATTTAAGTATATATAATATGTAATATATAATTATTTAATTATATATAATCTATAACTAATTGCATTTAATATATATGCAATATATAATTATATAATTGATATAATTGTATATAATTTGTTATATATAATTATACATAAATATATATAACTAATGATATATTAATAATTGTATATATGATTATATATGATTAACATATATAAACATATATAATTATATATATAATTCAATAGCGAGATATCAGGAAAGATGGACATTTACCAGCTGAATTTTAGTTGGCGTTAACAACAAAATAATAATTTTAGAAAATACAACAAATTTTCAAATTCCTAAACCTTTACATTATCAGAGGATGGAGTCAGTGGCATGATGACCTTTTCCCATTTTGATCTATGTATTTTCATGAGTTACCTGTACTATCCATTAAAACCAAGTATCAAAACAAATTGAATTTTAAATTGCTCACTTACAAAATATTAAGCCAAGATTTTCAGAAATAATAAAGTATATTAATATACATTGTTCTAGTTAAGTATTATTAATAATTTCTAGTGACATCAGAAAGTTATTTGCCATTAATGAATAAAATATTTTTATCTTTAATTCTTTAGAAATTTCTATACTTTAACCATGTACATAGTATATTAATATAATAACACATGTGCTCCTCTATAAATAAGTATATTCATGTTGTGGAATATATGCCCACAAATCTTGTACTTCCTAGGGTTGTGAGACCAAAACAGTTTGGAAACTGCAACATACAGCCAAAGAAGATACTTTGTTGATTGAATATGGGCTTTTTAAACTCTCAATTGTATTTTTATAATATCACAATCCCAAAATTAGACTAAATAATGAATAACACGATCAGGCACGGTGGCTCGTGCCTGTAATCCCAGCACTTTGGGAGGCCGAGGCGGGCAGATCACCTGAGGTCAGGAGTTCGAGACCAGCCTGGCCAACATGGCGAAACTCCATCTGTACTAAAAAGTGCAAGAATTAGCCGGGTGTGGTGGTGGGCATCTGTAATTCCAGCTACTCAGGAGGCTGAGGCAGTAGAATCGCTTGAACCCAGGAGGTGGAGGTTGCAGTAAGCCGAGATCACGTCACTGCACTTCAGCCTGGGCAACAAGAGCGAGACTCCGTCTCAAAAAAAAAAAAAAAGAATAACATGTATTAAAGGAAGTTGTGAACTCGAAAAATATTTCCTGTTTGTGTAAATTGAAGTAGGCCAAAGAAACAGAGATGTCTAACATATCACACATATCCTTATTTCAGTCATGCAAACAATTTTCAATAATAAAAAAAAGCAACTGCTGAGGCTGTTAGCGATGCAAAATTATTTAATGTTTCCAAGGTTAGACGTTCACTTTTTGAGATGCTTGAGTAGCTTTTCACTTAATTAACCAGCATGTATGGGTTTCGTTACCCAAGTCCACAGTTCACTACACAGGTCCAGAAAAAAAGCTGATCTCTGAAAAGCACTAGAAGAAGGCAGCTAGAGAGGGAGAATTCTAATTAGGCCGGGGTCCTCTGTGGCTTAAATGACTGAAGAAGTTTTTACAGTCTTCAATTCAGTGACTGCCAGATTCTTCCCAAAGAAATTTCTAGAGATCAAGAGTAGGCTCTTTCGAAAGTACTTGCCCGCATTACACTTTAATTTTACAAACCAAAGAACAGCAGTTTAACCCACCAAACAACAAAAACAATCCAAAGAAAGAGATTTGGACATAGGCATCAAGGAATCATTTCACTTTATAATTTAATAGAAACACTGGTGCATCATTCATTAATTTGGAAAGTGAGAACTAAATGTAACATAATTTTGTAAGGTTTGTGAATTGTTGCCTAGGTATTCTGGTGATGTTTTCTTTAGTGATTTAATCATTAATGAAAGCAATGTGGTTTTTTAGAAAACATATTATTAGGGTTCATAACATTCACATTTTGTTGTGCAATCATAATCTCCTGTTTTGATTTAGTCGTAGCTCTACAGTTGAATGAATTCAAAGCTCACCTCCAGGCCTTTTGCTATGGTTTCTGCTTAACTGAAGTTTATCCTCAAGTAGGGGTCATAGGAATTATATTCCCCACTGTCTTTCATGTTCAAAAATGCTTATCTGGGTCACTGTATTTGAATAAAAATATGTAATGGATTGAATGCTAACATTTTTGAGTCACATTCTTTTTCTTTAAGAACATTGGTTATGCTTATATTGGAAGTCCTTTTAAGTTTTTTTGCTAATTTTTATTTTATTGCTTGCTTTGCTCTTAATATATTACCATGTCACTTAGTGTATTTTCAACAATATCTATTCTCCTTCATACTG